CATTGGAATTCAAGATTGAAAGAGTATGAGAAGTAAACGTCCCACTACACTTTCAAACCTTTTCCCAAACTACCTTGTAACTGGTGGTCAAAGAGGTATTTGAAGTGAATTTAACCCAATATACCTTCTGGCTTCGACGTCTCACCTACTGGGCATGGGCACGAACCTGCTGAAAGGGCATGTTGTGAAGAACAGAATATCTGCAAAAGATATCACAGGCCTGGTTCTGAGCCCGCCATGCTTTGTGGAAGTCATGGTTCCACCATCAACGAGGATACCATGGCAACTAAGTTGAAGTTTCAGGGATCATATGAACAACATCCGAGAAAATACAATCAGTTACTGCTTCCACGTAATTGTTAATGGGGCAGGGTAATGACATGAGGATCCACTTCCAAGAAAGTTGTGAAGGATAGCCAGTCAGCATTCACTGTGGCACGCGAGTTGGATAAAGCTGATCTCTCTTGGAATGATGGAAAAAAATATCACTGCCCTGTGGGTCATTGTCTACCCTCAATAGCAGTAAAAGACTGACTAGATGTGTGAAAATATGTAAATGAGTCAACATTGATGAGAGAAAGGTTGTGATCTAATCCTTCCCATCGATATTGTTTCCCAAGATAATGAATCCCGCTGACAACTATTCATTAAGACCATCAAGGTCTGCCTTATCATAATCCTTTTCTGGGGATAGGTAAAGAGAAAAAATAATAATGGTATGATCTGTAGAGACACAGATGGCAACAGTCTCCAGTGGTATATTGAGTGGCACAGTTGCATGCTGGTCAACCAGTAGTGCCACACCCTCACAAACTTACACCACATGTCTTTCCTGTAAAAGGAAGATTGCCATAAGGTGGCATCATCAGCATGTCTTAGAAATGTTTCCTGTAAGAAGAGACACAAGGGTGGTAGGAATCAATCAGGGTTTTAATGTCATCCAAATTAAAACGGAAATGTCAACAGTTCTACTGTATCAAAGTGGTGATTTTTATTTAGAAGTAGTAGGAGAGCTGTGTGGAGAACCGTTTTTGTTTACGACCATGGGATTTTTGCTCATTAGAGAGAGGTCTATTGACCTTTCATAGATCCTGCCCTGGGTTGATAAAGCAGGTCTCTGTCAGACGAATGAGAATCCATTGAGTGATTGTATGACTGAGTAGCAGAACTACACCTCGAGACTGATTGAGAGGGGACCGAGTATTCACTGGATACTGCCGTAGGGATGGAGATTGGACTAGACATAGGCTTGTCAATTTATGAATCCATGGAAAGAAGACTATTCACATGATGAGAGAAAGGATCTGTAGGGAGAAACAAAGAGATATGTCTGCAACATCACTGTGGCAGTGGGATGGAGTCCAAAAGTACATTTCCAAGTTGGAAGATGAAACAACAACTTTTGTACCTTAGGGTAAGAGATTTTATTAATGTTTTTTAAAGCATGAGACAGTCAATTTCATAGTCATAGCTATCGTGGTCTCTGCAACCACAAGAAGCACACGTCAAAGTACCACGACAATATGTTTTCAAGTGGTAAAACCACTGGCATTGGAAACATTGGAGAGGATTTGACACCACTCAACCACCAGGGTCCTCCCATCCCCTTCATAGGTCACCACGCACGGCAAACACGTCAATGGATGTATAGATCCCAGAGGAGGTAAACTATATAAACAGAACCTCACCACATACAGGAATCCACATGGAAGGGAGGTTTAAAAGACTGTGAAGTTTTATATTCCACTTTTAATGTCAGTTTCTATCATGTTGGTATGCTTGTTTTAAAAGTTTTTTTTCTGTAAGAAAATGCAGTTAAACTATTAACCAATTTAGTTTCATCAATGTTTTCACCTCATGGTACATTTACGAGAATTATTTAGAGCGAGTTCCTTTCCTACTAACCACTACATTTATTTTCTGTGATGAATGTGATATTAACAAAAAGACAATTATAAATATATTATTTCCACGTTGTTCGTAATAATGTTTGTCCTTTATTATAGTATTGCTTGAAGGTTACTATTAAGCAATAAATATCTTAGTGTTAAGTAAAGAAACTTACTGCGTGATGAAAAAGTCTATTAAATTATTACATTTCAAAGAATTATTACACACTACGTATATTATTAATCGTGAAAATACAATTTCCAATGAAATACTTACATTCTCTTGATAATTCTCCGTCTGCGTTAAACTGTAGCGTCGCATACTCAGTGGGAACATCTTTCCTAAAAGTAAGTATTTTACTACTATTATGTAAGGACAAGTCTGCGTACACCAAGCCTTCGTTAGCGTTTGTTGTAGTTGCAGAACAAGGCTGAAAGAAAAGAGCACATGCTCATGCTTTGCAGTTAGTCCATTCTAAATCAAAGTCCAGGTTAAACGAGCTACCATTCTCTGAGATTATATGTCTGTTACACAACGTACTTAGGTTACTTTTTCACCACACGAAACGAGCAATTTTCATTTAAGGTAAGGGTTCACGTTTTCCTGGTTGCGGCTTAATCGAAATAGGCTAACGCATATATAGGGACTATATCTATATCTATATCTAAATCAACATAGTTCTCGTCCTGCTTTTTGAAAACCCATTACATTGAAAATGTATTCAACAAAAGCTATATTTTTGTTGCTTATATGATTGAAATTAATCCATATACAAGAAAATATGTACGAATCTCTATGGCAATATGATAATAATATTATTCATCGAATTTGTCACAGCTTAAAGGGCGGAATATATCGACTCTAGTCCTTCAAGTCCAGTCGGCCATGTCTGGCAGTTATCGATAAATGTGCGGGATTTATTATACACGCTCGCAAATAAATAAACATTGTGTCGATAATTCCATTTAATGGTGCTCGCACACATATAGGTTTATTTCAAAAGATTCATATAATCCTATCACCACATTACTTTATACAATAGGTAACTCAGCAAATATCTTTGTTTAAAAATTGTAACTAGATATTTCATTCATAACTTCATCGTTTCTCAGTATAAGTGTCATAACGAAGTTACCTCCTTTATTTTTGACTTAGAAGTCATTTTATGGACTAATGGGTTTATACTGTTTATTAATTACGCTTATATGTATAGTTATGGGAACTGTATTTGAAGTCGTTTTCGAAATTTGAGGAAACACCTTGAAAACATTTTATAATTTATCTATGTAAAATGTAATTTCAACACAAATTTTGAAATTAAACTTCGTTATACAGTTATGGTTGCACGATAGAAGAGGTTTTAGCATTGTTAAACCACATGTCACGTTTGTCAGTATGCAGTGTAGGTAGCGTGAAAACATATGTATGAAAGTAGTAGTATTTCTTTTTATTGAGTCAACTGGTCCCATGTTTCAAACTTTCTTGGTTTTTAAGACATATAAATGGAAAAACAGTTATATGCGTTGAATGTATACATATATGATGTAGAGTCAGTAGCAAATTTTTAAATAGCTATATTATTGCCTGGATTGCTGTTTTTGAGAATGGCTTTAACTTTCAAGATTTTCATACAACTCATTGTTACCTCTAGCAATAAACTATTCCATTCCTATGAGTTGTTGAAAATAGGGGAAGTCATTTTGGGGATATTTACCTTCAGTTACTTAGAAGTATTTGTTTGTTTGTAATTAAGCACAAAGGTACACAATAGACTATCTGTGCTCTTCTCACCCGGGGGGGGGGGGTACTTAGGAGTAAGCTCACGAAGAATTGTATAATTTGATGTTTAGTAAAATCGGTTTTGGGATGGAAGTGTACCATTAACATTAAAAATATTGAGTTAAGTACAACTGACATTTAACAGGAGGGTGTTACCATAAGCATGCATTAAGTATTTTGATAAACTTGTTCACGTGCACAGAACAAAGGTTTTTATTAGCAAGAAATTGTTTTAAAAAGCAGCAAAATATTATCAGTTTCACTCACACAGACATAAACAATAACTTGATAAGTAAATGTTGATATAAAAAAATGTGAGCAAAAATATTATAGCAACTGTAAAAACAATCACCAAATAAATACATATATTAATAAAACACATGTTTTTCAAACTTCAAGCACAATTAACGGAAAATTTATAATTGTGTATATTTGTCTCAAAGACAAATGTAAACATTTTAGAAAAACAACAGGTTTTTATTTATACTTATTTCGAACATTTAGAAACTGAAATATAATTATCTATAGTCATTAAAGCGACAGAGACTTAAAACTAATTCAATATAAAATAAAACAAAGTATATTACAGTATTTGTTTCTGAGTAATGGAAAATCCAAAAGAAAGGGTACTCACGGATAGTTTTAGATATTAGAGAAAAGTAGGAAAATAGAAATGAGCTCTAATTTCTAAAACATAACAACAACAACAACTCAAGCTCATTTTAAAACATCACTGAAATACTTTATAATAACAAATATTATTCAGTCAACAAAATCTATGCTTGGTTTTCCTTGAACCTTTTCTTTATGTTAAAAGGTAATAAATAGCTGTTAAAACATAAAAAATATCATTTTCATTTAGATATGCATGTGATGGTATTGATACAATATGGTCTAATTCTGAAATTAGTTTTGGTTCTTTTATGGTGTTAACTGTCCTTATTTTTTTCAGAATTTCTTAGTTTTAAGATTTATATCAATATTTTGTTACTTCTTGTAATTAGCAGTTACCCTTTATTTACGCCCTGCATTTTGTAGCATCGTTTTAGTGACTTTTAAGGGAGAAACAACAGGTTGAAATATTTATACACCGTGCCATTAGTACATTACTATGGTGGGCTCTATTCTTTATATCATTACACTATATCATACTCTCTAACTGTATGTTTTCTCTGTCTTCTAAACGACTACATTTTCTTTGATGAGCCTGTCATTTAATATAATTTTTCAACAAAATTATGAAACTACATGTATACCTATATTATATTTTAAAGTAGCACAAATCGTTTATATTTATGTATGCCTGTTAAGATTTGACTATATATACTTACTCCTCTGGGAGCTCGTTGAGAAAAAGCCATATTTTCATATGTTGGCTTATTTCCATTATCTGGCCCTGGTTCACTGTTACCTGCAATATTTTGGTATGACGGCTTTCCTGGGGGCTTCTTTTTACTTGGGCTGCTGGCATCTGTAAGGAATTGAAACGTACATTTCTTTGAAGAAAGGAAAGGAAACGTTAAATATACCAATATAATTTATTCTTGCTTAAAACAACATCAACCAGTGCCCACTTAAGTTATAATGTCTCTTATTTTTTTATAAGCAGTACCTTAAATTATAATATATCTATATATTCCTAGCCAGTACCCTCTTAAATTATAAGATATATACTTAAATTATAATATATCTATAATCATATCAATTATCCACTTAAATCATAATGTCTGTTGATTCATAAAATTTATTTATATATCAAGCGTACAATTTACATATACGTTTCGTAAATATTAATCCTGTAAATCCTACAAATATTTATTTCTTTTTAGAGTTGTATTTTACATCTGTCCTGAAAATAACTGATTCTATAAAACAGAAGTTTTATGAGCGTTACTCGGAATTCTGAGAACTTAGGGTTGAGTCAATTAAAAGTTGACTTATAATTTTGAATTTGTCTATGGTCTTTAAGAAGGCGCGTGGTAACATTAAGAAAAACATTATTCTGGGCTAATTAATGTTGATTCTAAAAACAGATGAGACATTGATGACAGTTATGGAGAATCGCATCGCTTTATTCCACTCAGAATCTTAGAGATAGACAGCTGCTTTGAGAGTAAACTGGAAACCAATTGTTCAAGCTACTCTGAGAAAGGTTCAAGTACGTCATAAAAGAAATTCCATGCAGGCAATTGAAGTTTGTTATTAACTTGAAAATGGATTAAACTGTCACTGATAATGTTTGAATTAAAGACAAATTTTGTAAAAACAGTGTTTCATAATATAGGCAAACTTTCAAGCCTTCTAGTTCCCTCGGATAAATTCTGTATTTACACTTAGAATACAACAGTTAATTTAATCTTTAAATTTTTATGATACTACTTCAATGATAGCAATTTGAATCATGAAACTTTGAAATCACCATTTTATTACATGATATGACACTATGCCATTCGTTTTCAGCTATTCAATATTATTAGTTCAAGAACCTTTCCGACTGGAAAAAGTGTTGTTGTTGTTATTATAGTATTTTAAGTGTTTATAGACATTGCTGTTTTCGTACAAATTTGCGTTACCTACCAATCGTGACATCATTTATTGTTAAATATATCATGTAAACAAATATGTTTCTGTGATTAAACCACAACGTTCATTTGTAGCATATTTTTAGAGAAATGAGATATAAATGTGTTGTCTAAACATTTTCTTGTTTCTTTCTTTTTGTTCACCCTTGATATCATAAAAGTATCAAATATATTCAGGTTTATGGATGAACGCCTAATAAACGATTTAATGCTTAGTATATGAGTGCGAATGCTCGAGTTAACTTTTAAATAAATGAAAACAAGATTCTTGCAGCTTCTGTAATTTGAAGTTTATAAACGATAATTTTAACACAGAACAGTGGAAATCGATTGATTGAGAATCTCAAAAGTATATTTTTAGGAAATAAAATTTATATTCTTGGTATTTTATGACCAAACTTACCTGTAGTTGTCCTCCGATGTCTTGTAGCATGCAGAAATAACATTCAGTGCAGAAATACAAACACTTTCTACCCATCAATTTGGTAGTTTAAGCAATCAAAGGTGAAAGGTCTATAAGCTTTAAAACAACACATTTGTTTCTTGGGTGCATTAAGAACAAATGTGTGAATTGTACATTAAAATATATAAAACATCAAATTTATTTAGTTACCAGAACTGTTATTTATAGTAGCAGAAGATGCACAAGTCAGTAATTATGCAGTGCTAAAAGTCACTCTAAAACCACTAAAAGGTCATTAGTGATGTGTATATCAATATTTCTGTTGTTAATAAACCATGTGCTAAGAAAATGTTCGACAAATTTAGAATGGTTGATTTTGAATTTATATGATATGTGAAAATAAATACTATTTATGTTGACAACTTCAAAAACATATTGAACACTATTGATATTAAACTACTGAATATTAACTTGACTACCACCAAAACAAACTGACAAACTGGCTTATAATACAAATGCCTGTGATCTTAAAGTAATATTTATGCATTTTTTAATAAAGAACAAAATTGTCAACTACAAACACGTTATTTTACAGGATTTATAATTTTTAAACAGCTACTTTATCTATCTTTGATCAATACCTAAATGCGGTAATTCAGTTCTGTCACTTTTACAGTTAGTAAGATTTGTTTCTAGAACAGGTACGACGTTTCGATCACTGGTACGATCATTCCCAAGTACACCGGTTTTAACGGTAAAAAAAACGTTCTAATATTTCAAGCAACATTCAACAATCTAGCAATGTATTTGAATTATAGAATACAATACAAATGCTTGTGATCTTAAACTAATATTTATGCATTTTTTAATAAAGAACCAAATTTTCAACCAGTCCTTTAAAATTAAATTTCTTCGTCAAATATTGTCCAAACAATAACCAACAAAGGTGATATGTTCAAAGTTTACAAATAAATTTGAATTGCAATTTTTTCCTCAACAAAACGTGAAGTTCAGTGAAGAGTTCACTAAAAGACTGCACACAAATTTACATTGAATTTTAAAAGCTAATAACGCGACAGGTTCATACGAAATCTAGTAGCCCAGATTTTACTGTTGTATAGAAAATCCCCGAAAACTATCAGATAATACGAAAGAACATTATTGAAAGTGCAAATGATATGAAATTGGTTTTAGATACTAACACATATATTAAACTAATTTCTATTCTTATTTGTCTCTTCAGCTATTTGATTAGAATAAACTGGTTTACGTTGTTATTCAAATTTTAGAGAAATGATAATTGTTTCACATTAGTGAAATATTTATGCTTTTGGCAACACCAGTTCAAATCCAGTAGAATTATTTATTCTTGGACTTTAATGAAGGTATATCAAAAGTAAAATATATCCGAAAGTTCTGGTGACAGTACATCAGAAACTAATAGAAATGGAGAGAAAACATTCAGAAACCAGCATCATGTATTAAATATCTTTATAATTTAAAATATCGTAGTACTAAATAAAAATAATCACTTGTTGTTATAAAATTCTTTGGTTTTTACTTATATTTCGAATGTTTAATAGCTGTAAGGCTTCTATTCTCTGTTTGTTTGTTGTTATTGTTTGTATTTTAAATTTTTTTTCATTCAAACATAATTGGTCAAAATATAAGTGGGAATTTTTTTCATTTTGAAGATAATTTCACAATAATATTTTTTGTGGTGATACAATAAATAAATCTTAGCTTGCTGCACTTATCATAAAACAATAAAAACACACACTGAAATAAAATTAGCTACGAATTTAATATTAATCTCCAGTGAAAGTCAAAGTGTTCAAGTAGAAGTTTCATATATAAAAATAACATACACATCTACATGAAATTGTTTAAAAAATTTTTTTTCTATTCGCTAAAGTCTATCCTCAAAATGTATATATATATAATTGCAGTTAATTATAATATGCTGTTATGATTATGAATTTGTAACAGTTCTACAAATCTCTAAATACATCAATATTTTACGCTTGAATTCCTGAAATTTACTAATTTTATGCTATGCAACCCAGCTTTACGTCTTCAAGATCGAAAATTGATGTACATTACAATAATATATTAAAGCAGACATACACATAATACACTATTATATTTATCTTAAACTTTAGATGCACCTGTTGATTTTGTTTCTGATGGTTAAGCTTATTGCTACACGAGATTTATAAATTCTTGCACAGATCTAAAATATAACGTTGATAAACGGAAACATCGGCACATGTAGATATGTAAATCTTGAAAGTCGAATTGTTCAAAACATG